AACATTCATAGGAATTCCAGGCTTTTTGCCAATCTTTAGTTCTGGTGTCTTGTGTGGATCCTTTGGAACAGGTTAAGGATCATTTGGATTAGCCTCACTATTAGAAGTAATGGAGATTGAGTTGGATTTGGTATATGTGGGTCTCCAGCTATGATTTTAATATCCTGGGTGCTGTCAGAGTAGCTGCTGGTTTCATGACCACCATCAGATTATGATACAGACACATGTTTGCAGACTTGAATTACTTCGTTTAGTTCAGTTTGATGTGCTGCTGCTTATTAGGCTTAAATCTAACATGAACAGAGCAAATACAGTTTTATCAAGTACTGTTTCATATCCTTTTTTTAAAAAGATACTGAATTTTATGTTAGATGACTTTTATTCTTATTAATGTGCTGTAAGGCTTACTGTGACAGCAAATGATTGCATACATTAAAAAAACCTGAAATAATGAAATAATAACAAGCAGCACTTTTCTTTTATGCCCTTTAAATCCTTTTAGCTGCGTTCTGAATCCATTCCAGCTTCTTTTGAATTCTCACAGCTAGACATGAAAATATGCCAATGTGGTTCTGCCTGATAACTAAACGGATGTTGCAGCTGTATTCAGTCTTTGTATATGAGCTTGTTCTGTTACAGTCGCAAACAAAAATGAGTTAGGTAACACAAAAGCTTCGTTGGTTTAGATAATTTCCAAATCTGAATGGGGAGCATGGAATATAGTCAATCTTCATATTTCTTGGATAGCAATGAGCACTGATCAACTGTAGTATTAAACTCAAGAGTTATATTTCCTTGATGTTCTTGCAATGACATCATATGGATGCAAAGATCTGACTCACTCAGAGGCTGATCTCACAGTTTAGATTCTATAGACTCTTTAATTCGGCATAATTTTACTTTGACCCCTAAATTGTAATCTCCAAAATAGGAAAAGATATAGAAAAAATAGAAAGGGGAGAAAATTTTGTAAGATTGTCAGTTTATTACTGAAGTGTTTATTCTTACCTAGTTAACACTAACAGTTTTCAGAATTGTATATTGTTTTCCAATGCTAATGACCATGATGATATCACACATGTCATGATACACTAGACCTGTCCAATCCAGCCATTATTGGGTTCTTTATTTCCTATTGTTTGTATGATTTAAGAGCAAAAACTCAACATATTATTGTAAATCAATTAAGAGACTATCTTGCACACAGGCTCCCAAAAGCACGTTTCATTCCCAGTTATTTTTATTAGGGCCTATATAGGATATTGATTTCCTTACCATTAGTTCGATTATGCTCATATTATAAATATAAGAAGATTCATGACAGCAGTGTAATAAAAACAAGAAAATGACATAGCAGTGATATTATCTTATTTTCTTCCTTGCTTAGTTTTGTTAAACACAGAAAAACTTAAGGTTCTTCACATGAATATTTTTTGTTTTAAATATTTCAGTACAATTTTTGCTTTTTTATTTATAATGAATAGTAATCATGAAATCATATCAGTCAATATTATTCTGTATTTTCTCTTCTTGAGAGAAGGGTCATATCCCATCTAATAGGTACACTATTTATATACATTTATTTGGCATATTTATTTATCACATCTGTGTAATATGAACATCTCAGATTATCCTGCCAATTCTGATTAACCTTGAAGAGGCTCCTTATAATATCAGAAAAGGACCTTCTGGTGGCATCTGAAGAAATAATAAGGGATTGCTTATTGATAATAAATCTGTTTGAAGTGTCTATGCTAGCTAGATTTATACATACATTTCCCTGAACTATGCTTAGGCTTTTTTAGTTCGGGTTTGATATCTTGAATGAGCCTAACCGCATGATTGTACATTTTATGAGTCCATGCAAATGGCTTATTAAACAAACCATGATTTGCTTAAACTTAGTATGATGTGTTAACCTAGTCTGATGTGTTATCACACCTTTAATAATAAGCTGTAATTTTTTGGTTTTCTTAAGGATATTTGCAATGCCTTATTTTACAGAGTAGAAAACTGGTCTTGAGCAGCTGCTAGAAATGTGTAGTGTCTGTTTCCTGTTTTCTGTAGCAATAAACTACTACCTTTTGATAGTTTTGTCTCTGTGTATTTTGTGAGTATGATGTATTAATCACTCAGCACTAGCTACACGCTATTAAAAACAGACACAGTGTCTCAATAAATGAGATTACTATATTGAGTATGAATAAACATAACCCACAACCTGGATATTTTATAAAAATACTCCCAAAGTATTTTGAGTCAATGTCAACATGTTTAGAACATTTGCTAAAAGTACAGAGTAGAATTTGACTGATAAATAGTGGGTTGTTGGGTTTTTTTGGTCAATCTCCTTAACATATGTGCTGCATTTATATGACATTTTCATTCTATTTTGTCTGCATTTATCATTTTGATAGTTTAAAAATCCTAACCATTATGTTCCATTTAAAAAAAAATAGAAGAGATTCTCTGTAGCTAAGAGTTGAACTATAGATTTCTTGATGCTCTCTGAGCTTGGTTGTTTGTTTGCAGACATTTCATTACTGAACTGGATAATATGATTACAGAGTACCAAGAACTGCACATTCCATTTTTCCTCCTGGAGCTCAAGATGGTGAACAGTGCATGCCTTCCCCTTATATTTTTGCCACAAAATCAAAATGTACAGTATTTTGGGGTGTAAGAGTGTGACTGGCTCAAAGGTAACAAGGAATTTTCCATGGCTCAGGGTGAAGTAGAACCTTAGTCTCATCCCTTCCTCGTCCATCAGATTAACCATTCCATTAAAGGAGTGGTTCTCAACCTTTTTAATGCCGCGACCCCCAACCGGTCGCAAGTCGAGGACTACTCAACTGGTTGTAAGTCGAGGACTACTCAACTGGTGCAGCACCGTTTGCAGAATGGGACTTTTGGCGAGCTCAGCAGGGCAGAGACAGTCTGGACAATTCCTATTGGCTTTTGAAAGCCAATAGAATTAGACTCCATTCAAGAGAGTCTATTCTATTGGCTTTCAAAAGTCCATAGAATAAAAGGGAGTAGCACAGCTAAGGAAAAGGGGGAAAAAATGGCGGACTGCGTTGTTTGGCGACCCCCGTGAAATGGTCGTTCGACCCCAAATGGGGTCCCGACCCACAGGTTGAGAACCACTGCATTAAAGTGATGATGGGGAAGGTGATTGTTTTTTTAAGAAAAGCAAAGCATTTGTTAACTTACGTTAGGGCCAACTGTGGAATATATATATATGTTTATATAAATATATGGTGAAGCTTCATTTAGGACACTGTATGTATCTGTTCATATCACAGAGAAGGTATTATAGAATGGGAAAATATGCAAATAGAGTCTGGCCAAAATAGTTACAATTCATTACTACATAAAGGATTTGAGTAACAGGTGAATTGAGTAAGGGATGATATGACAAGTATATACAATTACCCAAGTACAGAAAATGTGGGCAGAATTAGAATTTGGATCATTCACTGAAATGAAATGTATGGAGGTTAACATGTAGATGGTGAAGGCTGCTGTGGGAATCATGGTAGTGATGTAAAATCACAAGGGGATCATGTCATTCACATGGGCAAGACTGAGATTTTGTGTTTCTTCCAGAGATTGTTTTTAAAGGAAAAATATTTTTTTACACAATAGTTAGGAAATACTTTTTTACACAATGAATAGTTTAACCATAGAATTAACTGTCATCAGATGTGATGAAGATCACGAATTTAGTCAGCTGTATAAGACTAGACAAATTCCTTAAAGATGAGGTCATTTATTAGTAGTCATAACAGCAGTAACATGCCTCATGAAACCCAGGCAGCATCATAAATCATAACTCCTAGGGGGAAACGTCTATTTCTCTTTTAATTGGTATTCCCTAGCAGTTGGTATTTGAGATATGAATACAAGGTATTAAAGGTAGTCCTCACTTACCAACCTCAATAGGCATTGAAACTCTACCACTAAATGATGTCATAAAGTGAAACATCACATGACTGTACAAGCTTATAACATCAGTTCAGCTGCAATCATGAAGCAAATCACCTGCGCTTGTTAAGTGTAATGTCACATGATGCCAATTTTCAACTTCTTTCTGGCTTCCCCTTCATTTGTTACAAGCTTGTTGTGAATGTTGGAGATGGTGATCATGTGATTGAAGGATGCTGGAAACATCATATAGTAAATGCACAACAATTGTTAAATGCCCGAATTGTGATTGCATCATTGCAAGGACACTGTGATGGCCATAATTTCAAGGTTGCAAACCTCTTTTTTTCAGCACTATTATAACTTTAAGCAGTCACTAAATGAGCAGTCAATAAGTGAGGACTATTTATATACTGAAAGAAGGGTGTATTGTATATGTCAGTTTTAAGTTTCCTGAATTTCTCCTATTGAAATGTATGTATACTTTGATGCCTAGTTCTCCAAATATTCTATACATACATATATTTAGGTGAAGTTTTATAGCCATAGTTTTTGCAAAGATTACTTAATAACTTGTATAATTATTTGCATGAATACTGGAGAAACATTTTTGTACAGAATTAGCCCAGTGTGTTTTTTTAAAAAATACAGCTAGCTATATGCAAGCTTTGAAATAAAGGTTTGAATTAAAACTAAGTTTCAGTTAATGTGTTGAGTTGAAAAGACAAAATTAGATCAGTTTGCCTTCAGTATGATTTACAATTAATTAATTAAATAAATAAATAATTCCCAGTGACTCTGTATGGCTAAACTAAATTACATCATTCCCCCTCTCTGTTGCCCTCTTAGACATGCTTGTCAAAATCCTATAAAGAGTTGCTTGGTCATGGTATGGCATGAAAAAGCCTCTGGTGATCCTCTGGTGATTTATGTAGACTAGAAACTACTGCTAAGGGCTCTGGGCTTCTGATGAATCCGTCTCAGGAACACAAATAATTGCAATCCTTTTGTAAGTTTCCTTGTATTCACATCTTAAAACCCACATTCATTTTCTTCATGCTGTTCAAAATTACCTGTTAAAGCTCTTAAAGCTGGGTAGTTCTGGTATTGCTCCTGGCTTAAACAATTTAGGATACAAAGCTTCCAGCAGCTCAGGGTCATTACTGATGGCCTCAATCCAAGGTGATTGATAGTATTTTGGTACAGATGTAGTGTTGAACTTCTCAGGAGAAATTATCTTCAAAGGTCCAGAGTAACCTTTAGGAAAAGGAGGATACCAACACATTTGAATTTGATAATAGTAGTTTCCCAATACATTTGGACAATTCATTGTTACTACATTTCCAGTGACTTGGAGAGAACATTATAATTACATTTTATAATATTTTAAAAATAGGTAGTTTTAGGTCATATTCTGTGTCCTGTACCTCTGAAGTATTCCTGTTGAAAATCTGTGGCTTTGCTCTGGAAATAGCAATTTGGTTTTACATTTTCATGTATTATGCATCAGGTATTATGAAGAAAAATCATATATGGAAAGGATGGGTAGAAAAAGATAAAAGTTAAGATGATAGAGTCAAAACATGAATTCTTCCATCCCCCAAGATTTAGCTGTGCCCTGCTTATAATAATATAAAACAATTAAGTAATACAGGTATAGATGGATATAACATAATTTGAGTAGTCAAGGAATTGTGGAGCAGCATGTCAGTCAAATGAGCAACCTAGCCTGAAGGATCCAGATCAGGAGAAACCAGCTTGGCTAATTTCCAGCAGAAGCCAGACATGCACTGACTAATAGCTGCCTTTGCAACATCACTGTCACCTAACCTCCTCTTCCCAACATGGTTTTTAAGTAGTTAAGAAATAAAAGGATTTTAAAAATAATAAAGTGACAAAAACAAATTTAATAGAAGGTAATACATTTGAATCAGTTAAGATCAAGAAGACCTTATTAGCTTATTATTTTAAGAAAATATATGTGAAAAGTAAAACCATGGGAAGAGGAGACAAACTTCGTGTACTGTAATAAAAACTAGGGCTGTACAGATATATGGGGGCACTTTGCTTCAGTGAAGCAATACTATGGATCAACAATGTGCCTCAGTGTTAGATAGGAGGGCCAAATGGAGTGAAGCAGCTGACTGGATTGATTCATCTTCTGGAAATGGTGTAGCTCATTATTTTGAGTCAAGAGTCACTGTCTTGAATTGGATTCCTATAATTATTCAAGGCAACATATTTTATGAAGCCTCCAATTAAATAGCCTCCTGGCTATTTAATGGAAATATTATCACTTAAGAACAACAATAAATTGCAACTAGCCTGAGAATATAGTTGGTCCCATGATTGTGTGCATGTACACACACTATCAATATTTATTCAGCAGTAAGTCATGCTGCATTCAATAGTGTACAGTTTCAGGAAATTATGATGACAGTTCCAGCTTCAATTAATTAAATCTCCTTTGAGTCATATCCACTATGTGGCACTCATAAAAAAAACACTAAGATCATTTTATAATTTATTTCTTACAAATTAGACAGCTCATGTTTTCCAAATGGTAAGAAAAAGGTTTTTTGGGTCTTGATTTCTCCAAATAAATAAAACAAGTTTTCTTACAGGAAGAGGTTTTTTAATCCAGAAAACTAAATTATCCTCAGTAACTCTCATCTAAAGTTTCCTTTAAATCTTTTTATTTGATTCAAAACCTGCACATTCTAGCTAAACATGATGTAATTGGTGGTGTCCATCTAGAAAATGTTAGATCCTATCAGTAACAACAGCAAGAACAACAAAATGATAGATTTATATAGCTTCCTTACTCACAAAGAAGGCTCTGTGACTTCTCTTAACCCTAAAAAAAATCTTATTTTTAAATTATAACAAATAATATCTGGCATTTATCAAGACAAATTCATGAAGTGTCATCATACTAAATTCTCATCCAAACAGGCTTAAAATAAACATCCAACTAAATTAAAATCTTCCAAACAATCCACAGTAAATATACAAGGGAAGAGCCAGAACTCTTTCCTTAAATCACATTGTTGTTTTGGAACTATTACCGGTATATTTTTAAAGTATGCATAATATTTTTATTTAAAGTTTTATTGTGTGCTCCTCTCCCACCCACACTGAATAACCATTGCTACTGTGAAGACTTCATAGAAGATGAATTCATACAGTAAGTGTGAATTAACACATTAGTTAACAAATGAGCATTCACTTATAACTGCAATGACTTACAACTGAAATTCCGGGGTCCACTGTGGCTGTAAGTTGTGGACTATCTGTACTCTTCTATTATATTAGAGAAAATAGAATAACAGAGTTGGAAGGGACCTTGAAGGAGGTCTTCTAGTCCAACTACTGTCAAGCAGGAGATCCTGACCTATATCATTTCAGATAAATGGTTGTCCAGTTTCTTCTTAAAACCTTCAGTGATGGAGCACGACTACTCCAAGAAGCAAGCAAATTGAAGTTCTGCATGTCCATTTATTGCTTTTAGATGCTGGCCTAGAGTTCTAGTCCTGCTTTAGGCGTGAAAGCCTGTTTGGTGACATTGGCCAATCACCACTCTCAGCCCAACCCACCTCACAGGATTGTTGTGATGAAAATAAAAGGAAAAAGGTGTATAATGTATGTTTGCTGCCTTGAGTTATTTATAAAAAAAGTCATGATAAAAATAAATAAACAAAGAAACAAAGAAACTTAAAAAGTACAAAAGACTGAAGAATAAAATACAATATATATGAGATTTAAAATATTGTAAAGGAAACCTTGATGGCATATTCTTCCCTTACATTCTCTTATTATCTCCCAGCTACTAACCACTATTTAAGTATTTACATTATGCTTTTAATATTTAATATTAAACATTGGAAAATGTTGCTTATAATCTCTCATTAAGTCACTTCGTCTGTTATTTTAATTAGACTCTTGACTCTTTTCTTAGAAGCTATATTCCAAATATTTAAATGTACCTTATTTATACATTGTATATTTACAATATATATTTATATTTAAATATCTTAAAGTCCTGCTTAAATTTGGTTACATTTCTGTTATAAATATGTATTATCAGGTGGGCTGTTTGCTACATATTCCACGCTTTTAAATACTTTATCTTTGGCAGATTTTTACTTTTCCAGTATTGTTCCAGGTTTATTCTTACTGTGGTCAGCATATATCTTTATAAGTTGTGATACTTTGCATTTATGCTTTCTGAAATTATTCCCACATATGATAAAATGCCATAGTAAATACCACCTGCAGACTATTTTACATATTTTTTCTATAATTCTTCCCATTGTTCTAGTTTAATTATGTCTTTGAAATTTTACATCTACTTTATCATGAAATTTTGAATTTGTTCCATCTCTTTATCAAATTGCAAATTCATGTCCAATAAAAATTCAGTTCTTCTAGATTCATTTTATTGGTGGCCTCTAACAAAAAGTCCATTCTAAATTATCAAAGGCTTTTTCTGCATCCAACCTCAATCTCCATCCACACTACTATTGCCTTCTTTTTCTTGTTGTTAATATATTCCAATTATTTATTATTAATCTAATATTTGTCATCTTTTGGGAGGAATATAATCTATTTTGCCTAGATGTATACTTTTGGAAATATATTACCTTGTATATTTGGTTCGTGTATTTCTATCCAGCTTTGAATCAGTTTCATACTTGCTTCAGCCATTGTATTCAGTGGGAAATTTATTCTTATAATACTGGATTTCTTCAGTTCTGCTTTATGAATCACAATACGTGTCTGGTTATAAGTTTAATTTACTGAACTAACGACAACATTAATTGCCTCTTCCCTATCTATTAATCAAGAAACTTACATAATCTGCAAAATTCTTTATTTATTTTGGCATAACCAATCAATATGAATCTATTTATTATTGACTTAGAAACTATAATTATCTAATCTAATAGTAATTAGAACTTGATATCTGATCTTATTCAGTAGAAGTTAAATGTAAGATCTGTGTACCACACTGAACTATAATTCTTTCCAGAGTTTCTAGCACTCTGATTAATTTGTTTAAATGCTAGTTCAAAAGTTTTACTTACAATACCTCCCTGTAAAATGTCCTAATTGGAATGTTTCTGTCCCAGTTACATTGTAGGTTCACTATTCTATCTAATACATGGCTAAACTAGAAATTGCATCACTGAGAAAGCTAGTTACTAGCCTATAAACAAAATCCAGATGTTTTATTTATTTCAACTGTAGCATAATCCTTAAATATTGGATATGAAAGTCCCACTCCTCTCAAAATAACTATTATGATTCACCAGCATCGTTTTGATGTGAATATAGACATTTCATCATTTTTCTGGAGTAGTATTTCAGATTAGTTCTCCTAGAGACTTATTAATTCTTTGTGATTTTTTTTAAAGGATTGTTTCATATAAAAGCTGTGCAATAGCTTACCTGGGGCAATAGTTTCAGGATTGGGTGGACCCCTTGGATCAGGTGTATTAGGAGGTGTCATTGGTGCATTTAGATGACTAGGTTCCAGGCCATGAGCATCCAACCGGACACACTGTATGATCTCATTGCGCTATAATTGAATACAAATAAGAATCACATCTATTAACTGCAAATGCCATTTAAGAGAGGTGCCAGAATGTGTCTTGGCTATTCAGCTTTTCCTAACTGGAAAATTGATAGTGTAGTTGCTCTTTTTAATTTCTCTCTCTCTCTCTCTCTCTCTCTCTCTCTCTCTCTCTCTCTCTCTCTCTCTCTCTCTCTCTCTCTCTCTCTCTCTCTCTCTGTCTCTCTCTCTTTCTTTCTTTGTACCTGAATATGAAATTAGCTGCACAGCCTCTGAATGAACTGGTTAATTACTAATATTTAATGGATCCTGGGGTGTCGGGGGAGGTGCACAGGATTTTAATTGGCTTTCAAACCTACAATGAAAAATATCCAACATGCTGAGGCTTCTAGTCTCTAAGTCAACAAATTTATCAAGAATTTTCTGAATGAAATATCTGTCATAAAGGCATAATCAATAGCCTTTGTTTTAGGATCTTCTTCATAGAGAAACCAATCATTAGTAGGTGAAATGGGATAACCACACAGTGGTTTCAGTGTGGTATTGGATTCTAGACCATTCAAGCTAATCTGATCAGAAGACCTTAGCTCTTTTATGCATAAGGGGGTTTAAATTTTCCAACAATTGAAGTCCAGACTAAATATAATGAAAAGGATACATAGATTCTTAAAATAGTCTTAAAATTCTGCTAAAAGCAATCATAAGTGGTCTAATTTAATTTGGAGTCAGGTTATTGGGAATTGGTCTGTTTTCTGTACACCATGGGCGTGATCAAAATTGCTCTCTTGAAGTTAACATATATTAACATTAAAGGCAAAAACATACATGCACTGCCCCTTTCACATTGTTATGTCCTGATTCAAAATGACTCCCCAGAGTTTGCTTTGGGTCTAGGAAAAAGATACTGGAAAATTTATTTTGACATCTCACATATCCCATTTATGAGAAGTTATATAGAGGTCTAAGCAAGGAGGTGCCAACACTTATGGAAACTGAAAAATTTGTTACCATACCCTTTACAGAATTGTAGTTCCAGTGCAGTTGGAGCTTTACATTTGGTTTTAAAAATCAGGACATTTCTATTTATTTTATTTTATTCTACATTGTATCCATAAAGAATTTTCCCAATATTGTCTCAATTGGCAGTCATAATAATAACCTTAGTTCTGACTACTGCATGAAGATTAAAGGCAGACTGGAATTATCCACTCTTTATACCAGCTCATTAGTTCCAACAATGCATTCCAAGCCTTAATCGTTGTTTTGTTAACATAAATTAGAGCTTTCTAAAATGTCAGAAGCTAATTTTAGCTAGGACATTAAAATGAAAAGATTGTTACATGTAGACTGTGTTAAAGTACAATTTTCCATGGATAAGGGGGAAAACTGAAACCTAAAGATTTAAAAACAAGTCTTCTGTGGAAAGGCTGACACCGGTTCAGCTATTTCATTTTTTAGAATTCCTAGACTGGAAAAAATTACTAAGATATGGGCACCAGAGTTTTAAAAAGTAAAGGAATTGGAGAAAGTACAAGGTCCTAAATAATTTGATGGTCATTTATGAATGATGATCATAAATCTCATAAATCTTTCAACTTTTAGGGAAAGGTTTAATCTTGCTTCTTCACTGATGCCATTGCAGGTGTTGAAGTTCAACAGTTCATTGAGAAAACATATATAGTATATACAAAGCAGTGGCAATCTTACCACCCTTACTTTATCAAGATTATCATTGCTGCAATCATATGTCTTATTAGTTTGAAATAAGCTATTCCTCTCATAATGATAGTGCCTTGATCAAATGAGTTTGAAGTATGTGAGTGCTTCTTAATTTACTCAATGAAGGCATTTCTTTTTTTTAAAAAAATGGACCTTTTACACCTGACACCTGACACTTTACTACTTCTGAAATTCCATATTAATATTGAAAGAATCAGTTATGGTTCCTAGGCCATCAGTACATTTTTATTAGAAGTAATGTTATTAAAATGGTATTAATTATTTATATGGATTTGTAATATTAAAGTTCAGTGTCATATTTTTTAAATAAGAAAGTTTACTTAAAATGATATTTAATTTTATTTTGATCTTAAAAAGTTAATGCAACATAAAAATATTTTATATACAGGTAGTCCTTGACATATAGATAAATGATTGAATATGAGAAGAAGAGATCATTTATTGTATTTTAAAATAAGGTGATAAGTTACTACAATGATTTATATTTGTGAGGAAGGGGGAAATCATTTCTTTATATTATCTTATTTTGTTCTATTTTTTTCTTTTCTGAGCTTTCTATTTTTATTTTTATTTTTTAGTTTGTGTTAGTTTTTATCTTTGTAATTGTAATTTTTAATAAAATTACTATTAAAAAGTAAATGCTAGATTCAAGGATTATCCCAGCAAAATATAGAATTCAATTCCAGAATATGCTTGTAAAGAAGCTCAGAGATATATGACTATCTACATTTTATTATGAAATCAAAGTGCATCTGTTTCTCATTCATGGTCTCAGTCCTCACATTTTTGCTTCAGTGTTTGCTTCTGCTTAGTGAGATTGAATTTCTAAGCATGCAAAGAATAATATTTTGTAACAGCAAGATAATGTTTCTTTCCTTCAGGCAGAAAGATCAGCCATGCTGATCTTCCCTGAAATAATGAACGCATACAGAACAATGTGCTAGCATTTTTTGTGATTCATCTGTAGAGTTCGAAGGATTGACTGTGGGATCAAAGGGTTAAACTACGGTAGATGTTTATTTGGCAAGTAACTGTACTCAAGTTTGGTGACAGTGGATTCTTATGAAGTGACAACTTCTGTCTCCCATTCCCAAACACATCAAAAGTGCTTTCTTTTTCTGCAGTTAGAACGGTCTTTTTTTTTTTTTTTTTGATGTTGACTGCTATTTTGAATTAAATGTCATAAAACTATAGGAAATCCTTTCAAAATAATTGATGCCTATAAGCCAAGACATTACTGTCTGATATTTGGAGCTAAGTCAAATTACTAAATCTGGAAACTCACCAGTTAGTAGTATTTTAACAAATTAAGTACATAATCGATCAGCTTTACTGAGTTTAGGGATTCATGAATTTTCCTAGGACTCTTATGCTGCCTTATAACTGAAAACTAAATAAAGTACTCACATTGCTTGGTTTGCTAGATAAAAAATGAAGATTTTCATATGTGTACTTGTCAGATCTCTTTTGCCGCATTTTGAACAGCCTTGCTCCTCGATTACTCAGTAGTGACAGTTCTTCCAGCATGATATCCCTAGGGATGCTAATCTTTTTTCCAAGATCCATTTGCAGGGATTCTACAAAATAAAACATATTTCTAAGAGAAGTCTCCTAAGTCTTCTAATTAATATGATAATAAGTCAATTTCAATGATAGATTATTTTTTCCCACTAATAAAGCTGACTGATCATTTTCAGATAAATTTCAATTCAAAGGACTACCTCTAGATTGATGAATAAAATAAGATATTGTCTTTGCAACAATATATTATGTTAAAGGTATAGAATGCAATTATGGCAAGGCCAGCACCTGTGGTTTGAGAGAAGAAAATGGTGACAAGGCTGCTTGTTACATTCATGAAATTAATTATTTGCAATTATATCAAATTATTGATTAATATACACAGAAATCATAATTACATATCCATATCAGTAGGATTTGAGGTATAGGAGATGCAAGAATTTTGTGGAGGAAAGGTCCATCAGCGGCTATAGAAATTTTACATTGAGAAGTATATAACCGGTTCTTGGGGCCAAACTGTCTTAAAAGGACAGTTGTGTATTTCCAGAGATACCTTTTTCATCAGCAGGATAATGGACTGTTTGAATATCCACTGACTGCTGCAAGAGTATTGATGGATATTGAAATGAATGAATTTTTAAAAGCATTCTCTTATGTCTTAATATTCTAAAACAAAAATATGCAATTTCTGTTACTATTGTCCAATTTAATGCATTTTGTTGCACAATACAAACTCTTCAGGGAAGTTTAGAATTTATAATAGAAAAACATGAACCTCAGTTTGCACAATATGCATTCAGACTTAACCAGATTTTGCATACAGACTTAAAGTGATATTAATATACCTTTTATTCTTGTTTCCCTCCTGAATCAAAATGTGGAAAATGGTTACACCTTGATTTTACTCTGGTAAACTGTTTTCCTGCGTTTAAAAACAATTCTGCATCCAGAGAGTACTAGCAAAAGATATATCAATTTTTCTGCCTTCTAGCTTTACTACTTCTATTGTGGTATACTGTATGTCTGTTCTGTAATGAAAGAATTGAAAGGGTGAATTTGGCCAGTGGGATTATTTATTAAAATTCCACATTAGAATGTGGATGTTATAAAGTATAATTTTTCTCATCAACTTAAAAACCTGCTAGTGAGGTGAAATTAACAGGACAAGAGTCTTGTTTATAAAATTGAATTATAATATATCTGATGCAGTGGAAACATTTATAATATAGCAACCCACCAGTCTAAACCTTACAAGTGTAAATGGAATTCTTAGATTAAAATAATGTCATGTAAAATGGTATGGAATATGGGAAGATGGAATATCACATTACCAATATCATTTTTCTTATTATATTGAATCAAAAAATATTATTCCAGATCTTCTATAACATATCTAGCATGGACTCTAGATTTGTTTAAAAACTACCACTGATATTAAAAAAAAATTGGGAGCTGGGGAAAGAGCTGGTTGCCTTGGGATAAAATTTTAACCTTGCAGATGATGAATTATTTCAATTTTTTACATTAACTAATATAATATTGATGAATTATTTTTAGTTTATAAATTATAAAGTTTTAAGTGGTAAAATTCAATTTCACTTGTGGTGCAGATGGAAGTATTTTGTTTTGTTTTTAAAGATTAAATTCCAACAGTAACTTAGGCAGTCTTGAAGAAAGGTAAATAATTTTTGAAATTTGAATGGACAGGTATATTCATTTCTACTTGAACATGTGCACATATGTTTTAGGAAAAGTTCCAAAATTAGAGCTCAATTCTGTTTTTTAACATCAGAAGGAAGAATAATATTTGAACTATTTATTTTGAGGGACATAAATCCTCTAAAATAGTGTTGAAGTTTGTGTCATTCTTTGCTTTGGGAGAAAAGAAGACCAGTCTTGATCAGCCATAGACTTTCAGAATTCTATCCCAGTAATGGCAAAAACAAGATTCTGTTGCAAAATATTTCTTAAGAGAAATTATTTGGGAAGTATGCCTTGTATGGTTGGATATGAGTACAAGTCCCATTAAGTGGGAGAGGTAGAGGCCAAAAGATAATTTTACATATATCTTGCTTTTTAATTTAAAATTGCACATGTTTACACTCTTAAAGATAGTTTTAAGTCAAAGATGGAAACATTTTTTCCAGTTCTATAATACAATGTCCAAACATTAGCCTCTCCTCAAAAAATATTCCAAAAGTCAATTCTAGGCAGAATATGCATCAGCTGTTGTGTTACTTCATTCCTCCACAACAGTTGTTGATCTGAAAATAGCTTTCAAATGAAAAGAAGCCATTACAAAAGGATTCGTTACCATAGGCAGTGCAATAGCTGCATGAGATTATTTATGGCAACAGACACAGAGGGAAAACCATAGGAGAAGTATTGCTGTAAGACTAAAAAGAAAGATAGATGTGACACTAGCCATGTAGTAGGTATTTAATTATGTACCATTTAGCTGTATCTCCTTCATGATGGCTGATGCTTGCTGCTTTCTCTCTTTGATCATGTCAGAATGTGAGAGCATTGCCGTGATGAGCAAAAAATTTCTTACTAGAAAAAGAGAAGATAGTTAAATGCTATGCCAACAAGTACATTTAGCTTGTATTTTAATTAAAATCACTGCTCTCAAGGTTTACAAAGGCTATATTTTTAATCTCAGTTCTTGGCAAATTATACAGAATATATTCTACCACACTGCATATACATCTCAGAGCATCATTGGTTCCTTTGTTTTATTAAACCCTGTTTTGTGGCAGGGTAAGGATTGGCCTTCTTATTTTTTTCTGTAGATGTTCATCTTTGCTGAAAAATAGGTAATTTGTTGTTGTTGGAGTTTTTTTGGTTACCAAATTGTCAGTGTATTTGTTGCCTCATTGCTATAGATATATCCTCAATTAACTTCAGTATTTTTTTTTCTGTTTTCATCCTTTAAAAAATAAAGTCTTTTGCAATTTCTGTTACAGGACCCCTAAAAATCAGTGAAGGCATCGATCTCTGATTAGCCTCTACTAATAAGCAACAATCTATATAGAGAACCATCTTGGAAATGCTGCTGTACCTCTCTACAGTAAATTGCCTGTTTGTTTCTGCAAGCTGAAGCATTGCACTCATAGGACAATCAATGTCATTTATTTCAGGAAACAATATGCTCACTTACCTTATTGTTCAAGAAAATACTGATCTTGATGCTTTGAGCAGAGTTTATGGAATTTGCTATGAATGGGGATGACCTATCCAGTCCTTGGAGGTTTCTATGCTTCTTCTAGGGTTTGCATGATGCCTAGTACCAAGACAAACTGGGGACTGACCCTCTTCAAAAAGATTGGCATCTAGCTGACATAAAGTAGCTATTTATAGATGCAAACATCCAGCCACTCATATCTTCCTGGCAAAAGAAGAGAACAGAAATGATTCTGCTCCATGCATCACAAAAGAGTATGCATGTCTTCCACAGGTCATTGAAATATTTGATAGAACACTTATACATGTGCAGCTCATCCTGTCATCACCTTTGAGAAGGCTATTCTCTATGTTGTAAGTAGGGGAAAGACTTGTAAAAATAAGGTCAACTAAATGTATAGCAAAAACTAAATGAATTGAAATTCTTAGTTGACAGATGTAGAATGCTTCTGTAGTAATAGCTAACATTAATGTTTTGGACAAAAACTTTGCTAGATATTATTCAGTGTTGTCTGTACTGAAAAAATATTCTCACACCTAAAAGTAAGACCCCACGTATATTCAAGTTCACTTCAAGCAGAAAAAGGGTGATAGTTACTCCCAGAAATGTAATAGTGCCGAGATATTATGCAGTACTGGTTTTCAAAATTAACAGATCAGCAGATTAACAGGTCTGTAAAATCTGAATTGGATCACCACCAGGCGAGGAGGGTGGCATATAAATTAAACAAACAAACAAACAAATCCAGATATGCTCATATCTGATAGAATATTATTACAATAATGTTACAATAGCTATATAATTGCTTACAGAGAGGAAAGTATATAATTTAGTATATAAATAGTGCACACATCTAAAACAGCTTTACCAATCTTCATTCAATCACCTGTTGCATAATTGTTTTCTTTACCTTTCATAAGATTTGCTCAAGACCTTTTAGCTTAGCAAAACCACTATTCATTGTCTTATCTACTATGGCACCATTAAACAAATTCTTGACATTCTGTCTGTAAACATAATTCCAACTTGCTACATTAATTTATGAAGCCACATATAATTTAGAGATTGCTTCTTGCCTTATGCTGTATAACTTTATTTGGGCAGTTGTATGTATTTCTACCAAGATCTTAGTAGTTCTAGAAAAGTTCTAGAAGTTTTAGAAGTTGGAAAAGTTGATGTTTTATGTAAGACTATAAAAATTTGAAAAACTATAGAAACCTAAAATAAGTATTTTTCTTCTCAGCCTGTAATACCCCAGTCCTATTTTTAAAAGTAAGCTAATTATAGTTGACTGAACTCTCCAATATGCCACCTACATTTTTCCTGACTATGCTGTAATCCTTTAACAATCAGAGGTGTTCAATGGTACAGTGAACATGATGTTACTGCTAAAGATAACAATGTGTTGGCTCAAGCTCATACAGAAACAGCACAGATCAGGTGTTGTAATGCTATGTGGGAATGACCTTGGGAGAGTGAGGGGGAAGAGATGTTGCCTACGGAATCAGGTAAGAGAGGGCATAGTTCCACCTGTAAGGCTAGCCAAAATGGGTGCAAACATCTCACTCCTATGCTGGAAATGTAAAACAGCAATAGGATCATATTACCATATATGGTGGGAATGCCCAAAGACTTGTGAGTATTGGAACAGGACACAAAACTGGTTGAGGGATATATTAACACTGGACTTAGAGTTAAAACCTGTACTCTTCTTGTTGGGAATAACGACAGAAAAATACGACAAGGGAACAATCTACCTGCTGCTACACATCCTGACTGCAGCTAGGCTTGCTTTTGCGCAAAAATGGAAGAGCAAGGAAATTCCCACAGAGGAAGAGTTAATACATAAAATATTAGCATGTGCGGAAATGGACAGGCTCACAATGATATTAAAAGACAAATGTGGATCAGTTTATTATGAAACCTGGGATAAATTTTACTGCTGGAGGAATTCAAAGAGGATGGTTGGGATTAAAGATGAATGTTAAAATAGAAATATATGTTATTTTAGAATAAGAATTGTATATAAAACTGGGACTTCCGGTGGTTTAGCGTTGGTGATGGCGGCTACTTTGTAGCCATCCTCCTGGGAAAGCGTGAGAACCGCAGAGAACAGCAGGCACCAGCTGTTCCGTGGCTCAAAACCTCCCTCCCGGGCAAAGGGGGGGGAGGAGAGTATCACCTGAATAGAGGTAGAGCCTCTTGGAACCCCCAGGAAGTTTTCTTTGGGGGGTGAAAAGAGAGCTCCCTCGGAGTTTGGGTTGCCTCCGCCTCCCAGCTGTCTTTGTCCCTCGGGAACAAAGCAAGACGCCGCTCCCACCTCCGCACTTAAAGAGACCGGGTGAGTTACTTTTAAAAGCGGACAGAGCTGGATAAAGGATTTTTTTTATTGGACTTTACTTGGACTTTAGTCTAAAAGGTTGATTTTTATTTCCCTTCTTTTTTCTTTTTTTTTCTTTTTGTGAGAGTGAAAGTAAAATGGCGATCAGAAAGTGAGTGAAACGGAATGCAATGGACTAGATTGTTCTTTTTTTAAAAAACTTTTTCTTAAGATGGATTTGTGTTTTGGGAAGATCTTTTTTTGTTAAACTCTCCTTTGTTATTTTTTTTTCTTGTAAGGGATTTTTTTTGTATTTTTTATTTTTTTTTTTTAAAGAAGGAGGAAAGAAGAAACAAAACTTTTTCTTTTTAAAAATGGCTTCAAAGTAGCAAGCAACATCTACAGTACCTAAGGTGGCTTCTTCTCCTGCGATTTTACCAGCACAACAAGCTAAAGCTACATCACCACCCTCTCCCCCTTTGCCAGCAGTAACGGTAAAAGATATGCAAGACATAATGGGAAATGCTGTATCTCAAATCAGAGGGGAACTGAAAGAGCTTTTAGTGGAGAATAATATTATTTTGAGGCAAGATATAGTTATGGCTTTAACAGGACTTGCTTCTGTGGTTGAGAAGTTGGACTGTAGAGTGGAAGAAGTAGCAGATAAAGTGGAGATTTTGGAAGATAAATTTGAAGGCATGGAAAAAAAGATGGAAATTTCACAAGATGATATTGTTATGTCCCAATACAGAGAAATGGAATATGCTTTAAGAATCAGAGGCTTGAAAGAAGACATGCAACAAGACTTGAGAGAGATTATAGTAAATGACTTTGCTGCTATTCTGGATAGAGAGAAGGAGGAAATATTCAGAGAAATTGAAAAAATATTTAGAGTTATCTCTTGGGTTGCAAAGCAAAGAAACCTGCCAAGAGATGTGGTAATTTATTTTGGGAAGAGATCTCTGCGTAATGAAATTATACAAGCTTTTTATAATAAGAGGTTTCAGATTGCTGCTCAAGATGTCATTATTTTAAAGGAGATTCCATCCAAAATTTTAAGAAGGAGAAAAGAGTTTGCTTTCTTAGCCAATGAACTTAAAAAAAGATTGATGCCATTCAGATGGGAGATTCCGATGGGTATCGTAGTGAGTCATGCGGGGACGCGTTATAGACTTAACACTGTTTCTAAAGCAAAGGAGTTTTATAAGTCGGTCTTGGGAGCAGGCTCATCACCACCTATGATGCAGAAAGTCTTGGATGGCAAGGAGGTGGAACAGCAGTCTGAAAAAGTAGTACTGATGGATGTTGCAAAATCACAGGTTGAGTGGTTGCAACAAGCAGAGATCAAAGAGCAAAGAATGACTCGGGCAGCTCATAGACGTAAGGAAAAGGAACAACAGAAGAAAGAAATTAAAGAAGTTCTACAAGAATTTGTTTCAGTGCCTGTGGGAGGAGCAAGACCCAAGAGCTCTGCAGCACATTCTTCAATGGCAGATCTTCAAGCAGTCTTCTCCAGGCTTTTGGTCAAGGGAGATGGTAAAGCTCCTGACATGGAATGCTAATGGTCTTAATTCCCCCAAAAGAGAAAGAAACTTTTTCATTATTTAAAGCAACATAACAATGATATTATTTGCCTGCAGGAAACACACATTATATCTAAAGATCAAAAATATTTAGTTAATGCTTGTTTGGGATCTCATTTTGTATCTTTTGCTCCCGGGAAAATAGGGGGAGTAGTTATTTATGTCAAGCAAAATTTATCAGCCTGTTTAGTAGAATCCGATCCTCAAGGGAGATATGTTATGATTGAAGTGGGTTTGTATGGTAAGAAAGTACTCATAGTGGGACTGTAGCACCAAATCAACAACAGGAACAATTTTATAGATTGTTACATCAAAAACTAATTTTGTTGGATTATAGATCTGTTATATTAATGGGAGACTGGAATGGTGTTTCAGATACACAAAGAGATAAAAAAGGATCCTCCATTTCTTTTAAACAGGCTAAATTACCTAAAGCCTTTTTTGATTTGAAAGAGGACTGGGAGCTGCGAGATTATTGGCATGACCATAACTTGGAGGAGAGAGACTTTACCTTCTTTTCGGATAGACATCAATCTTTCTCAAGAATTGACTTTTTCTTGATTACAACGGATTTATATTTTAGGGTAAAGAATGTTAAGATTTTTCCTAGGACATTGACGGATCATAGTCCAGTTTGGATGGAATTGGTTAATGAAAAAGAGGAGAGGAGATCTTGGAGGATGAATGAAAATTTATTTAGACAAGAAAAGAATGTTCAAAAATTAAAGGAGCAACTAAAGGAATATTTTGCTTTAAATATGTATAAGGGAACTTCAATGTCAATGGTCTGGGATGCAGGTAAAGCTTATATGCGGGGGATTTTGATACAAATGAATAAGGTTCATAGACAGAAGCAGGTGCAGAAACGTAAGAAGTTGGAAGATGAGGTTAAACTAAAAGAAAAAGCTCTGATTTTAAACCCCACAGATGAGAAGATTAAGGAATCTATAAAATTGCTTAAATCACAATTTAATATGTTGATGGCTGATCAAACTGCAACTAATTTATTGTATATGAAACAAAATACATTTTGTAATGCCAATAAACCAGGGAGATGGTTGGCTTATCAATTGAGAAAGAAGCAGAGACAGAGAACTATAGATAAAATAAATTATAATGGTAAATTGGTATATCAGAAGGAGTTGATTAAGAAATCTTTTTTAGATTATTATCAAAAATTATACATGAGTACTAAAGTACAGGTTTCGGATATAGATAATTATTTAAAAGAAGCTAATTTTCCTAAACTAACAGAAGATCAGAAACAAGAAATTAATGGTCTGATTACTAGTGAGGAAATTGAGACAGTAATTAAAGAATTAAAATTAGGTAAAGCACCGGGTACGGATGGATTGACATCTATCTATTATAAAACCTTGGTACAAGAGACGATTCAACCTTTAAGGGAGCTTTTTAATAATATATTACAGGGTTCAGAGATTCCCCCGTCATGGGGTAGAGCTTTTATATCCTTGATTCCAAAAGAAGATCAAGATCTTACTTTACCAAAGAATTACAGATCTATATCTCTTTTAAATGTAGATTATAAGATTTTCTCGAAAACTTTAGCTAATAGACTTATGAGGGTTTTGCATCATGTAATACATATGGATCAAACGGGTTTTATAACTGGAAGGTATATGAAGAATAATGTTAGACAAATTATTAATTTATTAGAATATTTAGATAAAAACAATCAGGTTTCTGCAGGATTGATATTCTTAGATGCTGAAAAAGCTTTTGACCAGTTGAATTGGCAATTTATGTTAAGATTAATTGAGAGAATGAATTTTGGAGAAAAAAATCTTACAAGCTCTTTGTGTTATTTATCAAAAGCAAACGGCACAACTCATAGTTAATGGGGGTTTGTGAGAGGTGTTTTTAATAGAGAAGGGGACTAGACAGGGTTGTCCATTGTCACCATTGCTGTTTGTTTTAACTTTGGAAATTTTGTTGATTAAAATTCGAGAATCACAGCAAATAAAAGGAATAGAAGTTAATAAAAAAGAATATAAACTAAGGGCTTTTGCAGATGACTTGGTTGTTACTTTATCTCAACCTACTTATTCTGTAGTAGAGTTATTACAATTGATATATCAGTATGGACAGGTTTCGGGCTTTAAAATTAATAATAATAAGACTAAAATATTGCCTAAAAACATGACTAATTTGGATAAGGAGACCTTGGTTAAGTTGACAGATTTTGAGGTTGTTAATAAGGTAAAATATTTGGGGGTTATTTTATCTGCTTCTAATGCAAAATTGTATAAAAATAATTATCAAAGGCTGTGGGTCAAAATACAAAGAGATTTGGAAAATTGGGAGAAGCTGCAATTATCTCTTTTGGGAAGAATTGCGGCGATTAAAATGAATGTTCTGCCAAAGTTTCTTTTTTTATTTCAAATGAAACCTATTTTAAAGAATGAGGTTAATTTAAATGAATGGCAGAAAGGTATCAATAAATTTATCTGGGCAGGGAAAAAACCAAGAGTAAAACTTAAAATTATACAAGATATTCGTGAGAGAAGTGGACTCAAGGTACCGAATTTGAAATTGTATTATGATGCTGTGGCTTTAACATTAATTAGTGATTGGGTTAATTTAACAAATGTAGAAACACTCCTCCTGGAGGGTTGGGATTTACTTTTTGGATGGCATGCCTATTTAATTTTTAATAAAAAGGTTGATAGGGTTTTTAAATCTCATATTATAAGGATTTCT